AAAGAAGGAAGAAGGAATGTCAAAATCTTCAAATGAATTAGAGTTACTATTATATCAGAAAGTTATATCGATGTGCATTAAAGATAATAATTATTTGGAGGCATATAAAAAATGGGGTGAATCTCTATAAAATATTTTTCAAAATAATATATCTTATTAGACCTTATATATAATTTACATTTCAAATTTTATCTCTGGGTTACTATAAAGGACGACAATGTCTTAGAGAAATTTTTTTTTAAAATGAGAATCCCTTTTATTATATACACAACAAATTAGAAAAATCACTTAACAAAATTATCTATGATCTTTAAAAATAATCTGAGAAAATCAGGAAAAATTCTTAGCGCTATTTGTTAAAATTAACTTTTAATGGCAAAAAACATATTTTTAAAATTATGTTGGCAGGGGGGAGGGGGGGAGGGGGGAGGAGGGAAATTTATTTGGGTATCTGAACCAAGATGTCCCCTCAGTACTTACATCCATGAGTGAGAAGAGACCTAAGAAATTGGCTAATTTATTTTTTATCAGATTAGATAAAGGTTTCCTGCTTACTTAATGGACAATAAGTAATAAAAGTTCTTTAAACCATTTCGCGCTTATGATTTAAGGAACCTTAATAGGTTAATTAACATTGAATTCAATTTTCCTTTAAATAAATGCATTCGCAATATATTTATTGGTTGTTTTTATTGTTTTGCAGTAATGCGCTCGCGATAATGAGTTCACACAAATACATTGGTGGTAGAAAATTCGCTATGATGGGCTCGCAATAAAATTTTTCTATAATAGGTTCCGATAAAAGTTTTAGTATATTGTATTCGCCTAAAGTATTTGCAATTATGACAGAAATAAATTTTCGATAGATGTTATTAGGGATTTGGTTTAGCGATATTACCTTATCTATAAAATTCTTTCACGATAAACTACATTTATGATAAAAGTTTTGCGAAAAATGTTTCGCGATAAAAGCTTTGCTGATTTGACCTGATATGGTTTTTACATCGATTAGTAGACGAAAGTGCAAAACCTATCTCGTTCGCGTCATGGACTTAGAATTGAGAAACACTACGTTCCGATTATTATAGAAACTCGGATTTATTTATGGTAAAAAATTCTTACTTCAAACTGATCACAAACCATTAGAGTGAATATTTGGCCAGAAACGACTGGGCCTAGGATTTCGCCAGTGAATATAGAAGATCTACAAGTAAAAATGTGATCGTGGATGCATCATCAAATTTTCCGATATTGGCCGTGGAAGAGAATCAAGATTCTAAACATACTTTAGAGATTAGAAGGATTAATTTGAATGAAATGCATTTGTCAGAAAATAGTTTTAAAAAAGTAAAATTAGGATTTAACATTAAATAATATGCCACGGAATATTTAGCAAAGTTGGTGAGTTTTGATCATCATGAAAATAAAGAAATTGTTAGTTTTTATAAACGACGGAAAGAGTTATCTTCGACCTTATAACATATATAGTGTTGTTTACTAATCTGAGTTGACTTACAAATTCTATTAAAGTTTTGAGTCGTAAAACTCACTTCAGATTAAGAGATTTGATGAGCTGTATTAGAAAGTTCGATGAGCCGGCTTCAGAGTCACAATATTTTTTCATACATTTTTTTTTCATGGAGTATTAATGATAGCATACCGATTCAAAATTTTGAGCCGACTCTGAAATTAACTCTTCAAAACTCAAAACCACTCTGAAAACTACTCATCGAGCCGTAAGTAGATTTATCGAGCCGTTCAATTTAAAGTCGTATTCCAACTCGAGGTCAGAGTCGTAAAAACTTGACTTTTAAATAACACTATTCTTATAATATAATGCAGGGGCGTCGCTAGCCTTTACAATATCAGGGGGGCTCAAAAAAAAAATTTCTGGGGGGCATCGCCCCCCAGCGGGTTTTATATTAATATATTATATTTTTAAAAATTTGCTAACTCTGATTAATTATTCTGAATTTCATATTTTGTCATTTATTATATTCTGTATACAAAATAAACTAGCATATAAATAATTAAAACAATGTAAGACATTTCTAAAAATATTATTTTTTAATACAAAATCTATTTATTACAGTATAAAATATTTTCGATTGCTGATATAAATTTTGCGTCTAAAGAATTACAAGTGATAAAAAAGGTTAATTAATTCATACATATGCCTCAATTGATAATGGTTTTTAAAAACTATATATTATAAAATTAGCAACTTACATTGACAAAAGGTGAAGAAACTAATATATCACTCTGTTACCATTTTTAGACAATGTTTTATAGAATGTACTAATAAGGAAAAATTTATAGGCCCAAGCAAATCAACAATTCTTGGAGAAGATAATATAAACGACCAATCCAAATCATAAAACTATATGGTGGTTAGAGCTTCCTCTTAAATGACATGATGGAAGCTAGATAAGTAATTGAGAAAAAAATATGAGATATTAAATTTCTAATAGATTATCTTTTATTTTTAATGATATATAAACAACTACACAGTTGACCATTATTGCTTATAAAATATGCAATCATATGCTCTCAACAGCTGTAATAACAATTTTAAATTACATAGCCACACATATAGATGCTGGATAATTAGCAGTCATAGCCATGACACTCACTATATTAACTTATATCAGAATTTATTATGCTATATAAATTGATAAAACAAAAACACTAAAAATCTTTAGAAGAAATTATGCAAATGTATTGAAAAGGCAGGGATGCTATATTAGAAATGAAACATTTTATAACTATAAAATAAGAACCAGAGTGATATAATATGATAAAAGAAATTAATTAAAATTTTATATATTATTATCGCACCACCTCTAGTTGGTATATTATATCTTAAAATAGTAGTAGTTTATAATAATATCAAAAATATACTAGTATTAAAAATTTAACTCAAAACTGTTTTTCAAATAAGAAAAAAATAACTTTCCTAAAAACACGTAAAAAGAGAAGAAAAGTTATCTAATTTATTAGATCCATTCTGAGATAAATAATAAGATATTAAATTTTTAAATATATACAATAAAAAGATGGCGTTTAATATTATGAAAGCAGTTTATTACTAATATTTATTATCAAAAGCATTTATTAGTAAAATTTATTAAAATATTAACTGTAATATTATATAACTGTCAAATACGTCTGTAAAAGTAGTATTTAACCTAATCCTTTATAACCAATTATATCTAATAGAGGATTATAAACTATATGTTTACTTACTTTTTATAAATAAATCTCTTATACTTATTTGGATTTGGACCTTGAAAATAATTTTAAGAGGAGGCATGGTAATTAAATTTAAATATCAATAATATAGTTGATTAGTGATATTGAACTCAGCTAATTACAATATTAAATTTGTTAATTTTCAATTAATATTTATTTAATTAGAGTTATATATTAATTTAAATAATAAAAGTCAATAAAGCTTCAACTGTTAATGCTAAATTAATATTTAGTGAGTGATATTAATATTCAATTTTTAACACAGAATTTGATTGCAAGTTGACATAGTGAAAATATAATTAATAAATATTTATCTAATCTAATAATTAAAATAGTATTCATTTAAGAATAATAGCCTTATTAATTTTTAAATTATAAAATTAAATCTATATAATATTCAGTAGAATTATAAAAGAAATCATTCAATGGGCAATCAAAGAAATTTATTTTTAGTTCAAGGGGATATTAAGGAGCCAAAAAAAAATTTTTCTTCAAGGGTGTTTTTCAAATTTTTTAGGGGGCTCGAGCCCCTGAGCGCCATTCCTTCCCTATCGACGCCACTGATATAATGAGAGGTTTGTAATTCTTATAATATTATGAGAGGTGTATAAAACCCAATAAATTAAAGAATATTATGAAAATTATTTATAGAAGGCAGCCTGGTGAAAATTGAAATAAATTCTTTGATTGTATTGTTGGTGAACCAGGTGCGATATTGATATAGAAAATATATCAGAAGATGTTTTGGATGTCAGAAAAATAGACCTGAATCGGATGTAGAACATAAGATTAAAAATTCAAATGAGATACAAAGTCAAATCATGATTCACATTTAAAAAGGAGTGAATTCATACATTTAAGATTTCACAACCTGTTTGGATAAAAAACAAGGATGCCAAGGTTAAAGAGATGGACGTAAATTATAAGATAGGGTTATATTTTGAGACGATTTAAAAACGGCCCGATTAAGATTTAAGCCAAAATAATAGAAATCCAAACTTTTCTGCCATCTATGAGAAGAATCGCCAGGCTTACTTAATATTATTTTGGCTAAAATCATAAACGGGCCGTTTTTAAAAGTCGATTCAAATCGGACTTTTAACAAAACTATTTGAAATTCCTGAGAGAATATTACGGAAATACGCAATGATATAGTCAAATATTTTGACTCAAGAAAGTTTATCGGAAGAGGAATATTGTCTGCTGTTATAAATACTATAATACGTTGTTCTTCTCATTGAGAAACCATAAATTATTAAAGATTTATTAAAATGAAATAAATATGATTATATTCATTTTTAAATTGGAAAACATTATAAAAAAGTAATTTATATATAAATAGAAATCATTATATTGGCTTTGATTAAAATAAACTATGAATGTTTATAAATTTATATATAGTATGATAAAATCTCTACTAACTATTACGTTAGTTTACCATAGTTTTATTCTAATTTGCTTAGAATGAGATATTAAGGTTGTAAGAAGAGAAAATAAGATAGAGAAACACAAATAACAAGTATGTTATTGAGCATAAATAGGAGGGGCAGTATAGTAATGTATTTATGAGATTTAAACTTACTCATTAAAAGACAAAATATACCAATAACCTCGATGGTTATAGCTGAGATCTTTGGCTCTAGGAAGAGAAAATTTAAGTCATAAGATGTGAACTTAAAAATAGAGTAATCTTTTATTTTAAAACTATTCAGAATTATAAAGTAGAAGAATATGTCATACATTTTTAGTAGCGGAGTAATTTATTAACATTTTCCTAATTTCCATATTTGTTCACTTCGTTTGTTATGGTAAGCCAACCTAAAATAATACAAGATTTAAGTGAGGAAAATGTGGAAGAAACTTTTGAGAATCCTCCTGAAGTTGGTAAGTATATTGTACTGAATTTAAAATTCTGCACATGCATTTTTTAATATTTAGTATATTTATGATTTATTTATACATTAGAACGAGCTAGATATAGTATTTGTTATAATTTGGATTTATTTTTTTTATATTAAATATAAATAAAATGCAGCTTTACTTATTATATTGCTAGTTTTTTAAAAAAAATTTATGTAGCTTCTGGGTCAGGATCGGAATCAGATGATGAATCTATTCCTGAATTGGAAGATTTAGAAAACGCTAAAACAGATTCTGGTGTTGGACTTACACCAGCACCTGTTGGAAGTAGTGCAAAAGATAATATTAGTGAAGATGATTCCAAATCTAAGCAAACTAGGGGTGAAAAGAAAGCACGAAAAATTATATCCAAATTGGGACTTAAACAAGTTTATTTTATCCTATAATTATTTTGCTATGTTCTCTCTTAGATACATGGGGTTGGTCGAATTACTATTAGGAAATCCAAAAATATTCTTTTCATCATAAACAAACCAGATGTTTATAAAAGCCCTGCTGGTGATACATACATTGTGTTTGGAGAAACTAAGGTAATCAAATAATATGATAGGGCATTTTCACCCTAAACTGAAAATTGTTAAAGTATAAGATACACTTAATGTTACTTGATATTAGCATAATTTCTGGTTGTCACTAAAAACAATTTGTTTGAATGTGAACTTAAGTCATGGTCATTTAATAATACATTAGATTAATTTACATAGTCAACATTAATTCTTATAAAATTTTAGATTGAAGATTTGAGTCAACAAGCTCAAATGGCAGCAGCTGAAAAGTTTAAAGTACCCCCATTCTCACAGCCAACCATCACTAATCCTAATGCACAACCCAATGGTATGCTAGGAGATCTTAACCACATAAATAATAAGGAATCATCTGATACTGCCACTGGTTCAGGGTTATCACATGACACAAAAACAAATCAAAACTATCCTCTCATTATAGGGCAAAAGGATGAGGAACCAGTATGCATAGTTTTTATATTTGTTTATTGTCAGTTATTTAGTTTTATAGTGAATGCCTTTAACATCTTGCCAATTCAATTATTATTAAATACAAATATATTTTATTTTAAATATTAACATTTAATTTGGGATTTTATAATTCCTTTATTGCTAGATTTGTACTGATTATAAACTTATTTGCTAGAAACTTGTATATAGATTTCTGCTAATTTAAACATCCTATCATCATTATTTTAAGGTTTGTATTTCTTCTAATCCTTGGTTTGGAATGTAAATATATTATATCATTGGACTATAAAGTTATTGTTGGCAAACCATCTAACTAAGTATATTTATTCTAATAAGGGTTGCCAATTTATTCAAACAAAAAGTGGGACAATTTTGCCATAATTAAAATAATTTTCTTTTTTTTTCTAATGATTATTTCTTTATTTAAATCAATATATCTAATATGCAATAGTAAAATAAAAGATCATACATAAAGTTTATACAAACAATATATTTAAAAATTCAGTATATTAAATTATATCATTAATTAAATTTTCTGTTACATATTCCTTTACAATTATAATTAAAATTATGATTGATCATTTAAATTCTTATAACAATGATCTTTTCTCCAGAAATTTTTCATTAAATCAAATATGCCCTCTGAATTAGTGTTTGAATGTGGTAACAAAAATATAATATTGTATATTCAAAATTTGATCATTTGTTTTCATGGACTGAATTTAATATATTATTAGGTTTAATAAATGTATTTAAAGAAGTTTCTGAAATTATTCATCTAATTCAATATTTATTATCAAGCATCATAACCTAGGTGAATTTATTAACTCCATTTTAAAACAGCAATCTTATCATGATCATCACATTTTATAAGATTTTGTCATACAACCTAGCTATAAAAGTTATTGATAACTTGGGTTGTAACTAATTTTAACCATGTTGTTTAAGGCTGTTCTTATATTAATAACTAGGTCTAAAAAAACTTTGACCAACTCATTTTCAAAAAATAATTTTAGAATTGGGATTTTGAGAAAGCTAAATAATTTTTATAAAGTCTTGAGTGTTGATATTGTAATAGTCATCTTGTTGGAACCCTATAGAAGTTCTGACCATTCAATATCTGAGAATCTATAAATTTTGACACCTTTTATGTGAATCTGCAGCAATTATTTATATGTCTATTAATAATGAAGCATGCCCTTTCTTCATTGTGTATTGTAATGTCACAGGCAGGGATGCGAACCCAACAAAATTTTTGCCCGGGTTTAGTTCGGGGTATAAAAAAAGGTGGGTTTGGTTCAGGGAAATATTTTTGAACCCGGGTTTGGTTCGGTTCGGGTTCAAGAATTGTTGATAAAAAAAATTCTATATTTAAATCATAATAAAAAACTAGACATAAATTTGATATAAAAAATAAATTTTTTATTTTATTTATAGGCAAATATAGTTTAAAATACAAAGCCTATAGTCATGTATCAATTTTAAAAATTTTATTTAGATGTATTAGCATAATATCTTCCAAGAGTTGTTCACTCATCCTCGATCTATGTGGTGAAAGAATGAATTTCAAATGTGAAAAAGATCTTTCAACGCTAACCTATGTTAAATGTATTTATATGTGAAAATATGATAAATTAACTTGGGTTGCAGGAACAGCAAATAAGATTTTAGATAAAATATATAATTCAGGGTGTTCTAGCTTAGCAGACTCCCAAAAATGCAAAATATTTTCCTTCTTATCTAATCTTTTATAATCGCTAAATCCAGTAATTATTGTTCCAATACTTTTCTCAGCAATCGTTGGCCCTCTTTTAAGTATTTTCTCCTGCCTTTCTTTAAGTTGTATCAATTTCTCTAAATCATCTTGTTCAATAACTTCATCGGAACTAATATCATCAGATAAAATCGGCGTTGTTAAGCTTTTAATTCGTCTCCATAAATTGACAAGATGCCTTTTCGCACAAATCTTATCATCATCACTAATCCATAAAATAACAATTTTAATATAAATCTAAAATAATTAATTTACTAAGCTTTAAATTAACCTTGTATCTTGGGTCCAGGTATATGGCAGCTAAGAGAATTTCGTTCTTTATAAACCTTTCTTCTCTGTTCTTAAGACAAGAATATAGTAATTGAGCAAAATGGTTTGGATTTTTTTCCAGTTCGATGCAGCATCTTAACCATGCTGCATAAAAATCTGTCAGTGTTAACTGTTCAGATTGGAATTGTTTGGTTGCGATTTTTAGCGGTTTTAAAATTTCAACAATCGTTATTATCTCATTCCAATCTTCAGTCAATAAATAATCAGATTGCTCTGAAAAAAATCTTCGATATTGGGTTTTAGTAAAATCAGCCTTTCTAACATATCATGGGTTGAATGTCATCTGTGGCAATCTAACACAGGCTTAGGGAGTTTCATATTTTTTAATAACTTTTGGTAAGTGGGATGTCTTAATTTTAAATTTAGGCTCCTAGCTTTTGAAATGGTTTCCACAATAGGTGATAATTTTATAGCATCTTGAAGTGCCAGCTGAAGTGTGTGAGCTGCACACCGTACACTATAAATCGGATAGGATATAATAGTTGATAAAAAAGTATTTTGTATATCATCAATATCATATTTATATACATTTACATCCATATTTTCCTCATCTGCTGATTCACTCCTTATATCATACAGTTTCAGGTTGCAGGAGCTTAAAAAATTACAACCATTATCATAAGTAATTGTGTATATTTGTTCAATATTAATTTTAAATTTTAGTAAAGTTTTTAATATATTCTCTTTTATATATTCTCCTGTACATCTCTCTTTCAGCTCTACAATTCCAAGAGTCCTCAAATTTATAATGGACTTATTTACACCAAGAATTGACCTATCTAGTCGTTGAACTGCATCAACTTTTAAACTTATTAATTTTCCTTCTACCTCTCTCGATATTTTGTCTCTAATTGATTGGGCTGTTTTATCAATAGTTCTGGATAAATTTTCTTTGTTTATAACTAAATTGAGCCCAGATAGGAGTGGATTTATAATTCTTTGAAATCCCGAATCTTTAATAATTGATAAAGGCCGGCCATTTACAGTAACAAGTTCTAGTATAGAACTCATCAAATCATTAGATGATATATTTATACTTATATGCTTTTTTGGAAAAAAGGTTTCTATATTAATTTTAGGTTTTTTTGCCAATAACAATTCCTGATATTTGGTTTTTTCATTTAAATAATTTAAATATTCATTGTTGTGATTTCTTTCCAGGTGTCTTTCTAAATTTGACAAATTACCAGACATTTTTACTTTGCAATATGAACATATTGATTTTTTTTCTATTGTATTAAGGGTAAAATGCTTATCAAATATGACTTTATCTTTATTCTTAAATCTTTAAAAAGAGAACAATTTTTTTAAATAGCAATGATTTCAGAATTAAAAGAGATATTTATAAATTTAATTTCATTTATAATATGCACTTCATTAATATCTTGTAAAAATTAATCTGAACCAAAAATAAATGATTAGCATATATAAATTTTAAAATCATTTTAATAAGTTCACAAAAACTGCCCTACATTTAACAATTTTTAAGTTAGATGTTTAGAATTTTTTAAATTAACAATATAATAATTTTTACTTTGATTTGTTAACCATTTTCTTCTAATTAATAATCTTTAAGAATAATAAGATAAAAATTTAAAAATAAATGGCATAAATTAATTCAATTGTTTAAAATTTTTTAACACTCCAATAGGAATCGAGAATAAATTTAAAAATGGCATAAATGAATTAAGTTGTTTAAAATTTATTAACACTTCATTTAATTGGAAATTTGAAAATATAATATTTGTATTTACATATATTAATATATGATTTTAAATAATACACTGAACCCGGGTTCAAATAAAATTCTTGGGTTCGGTTCGGGGTTTTGAAAATTTTATAAATGGGGTTGGTTCGGGTTCAGAGTTTTTTTCTAAAAACCCGGGTTCACTTCTCCGGGTTCGGTTCGAATCCCTGGTCACAGGCAACCAATGGGAATAATGTTTTTATTCAAAAATAATATTATAACAATTTGTTATAAAATTAAAAAATATTATAAATATATTTAAATTGAAAAGTTTGGAAATCAAAAAAAAAAATTTGGAATTATTTGTTTTCTTTCCTTTTTAAAAATAGTTAAAAAATAAACAAAAACAAGATGCCATTTTAAAATATATGATTGAATTAAAATACAAATTGTAGCATAAATTTCTAGTCAAGCTAATTTTTAATTATTTTATGTTGTGCTAATCCAAAAAATTTTCACCTATCCAATCTGATATTACTAAAAAACCCTTCCAATTCCGATATTTAATTTGCAATGATTATCGATAAATTTAGTGTTGTTAAACAGCTTCATTTACCCGATTTAAAAAAAACTCAAAATATTATTACCTAAGCTTCAGAATTTTGCCAATTTTCTTCATTCTGTGGGCAAAATTAATAAGCTTAAGTAATTTAACTTTGGTCAAAATCTTGAGTTAATTCTTTTTAAAATTGGCTAATCTAGCCTTTTAACAACACTCGATAAATATGACTCATTATTTTAAAATCCTTTTCTTGTTGCAGATAATATAATAGGAAAAATAGTATTAAATTTTAAACTATTTTAAAACATTACAGCAAATGAATTATATTAATTCTTTTCATTAAATATTATTATAAAATAAAAAAAATTATATGAAAAAACAATATAAATCTACCTGATCCGATATTTAATATCCACACAACCCTAATATTTTATGGGAGAAAATGTAAATTAATAGACGGAGTTTTTGGCATAACAAAGTAAAAAATCGAAAGGTCTGGTAACACTAATAATAATCTTTAATTCTTAAAAAATTGCACTTATTTCATTTCAAGATAAATTTATACTTCTTTATTTTACGTTAATAAAAATTATATATTAATCAATTTGAATAAATAAGTTAAAATATAAGCAAGTAGATGAATGTATTAAATTTGTATTTTAACTTATTTTATCATTTTTGGTTGCTAATTCTTGATTATTTTGCTTCAAATTGTTTTGTACTTTTTATTATATTGCCCAACTTTGTCTTGATAATAATCTTTTATTGCTCATTCCTCACATTCTGACATATTCATTATCTAACTCCCATATATTAATTAATTATATCCAAATGGCCCGCATATTTCTTGCCCTTGCCTTAGCTCTCCACTAAATTATATTCTCATCCTATAATTTTTTAAACAAAAATATCATTTATAATACTAATATCAATATAATATAACTTAACGAATTACAAGAAAAAACTTATCAAATTTTATCTAATTCATGTGCAAATTATTTTTTATGGGAAATCTATGACAAGGGTGTTTATGGTACCTTTTAAAAAAATTAGATCATATTTATCTGAATGAATAGGAAACCTGTTTTATAATATTACCAACAGTCTAAATTATTGGCCTAATATTACTTAATAGTTTTTAAGACTTGGATTTAGTCAACTAGACCTAAGCCTCAAAATTTTTTAAAATAAGGCCAAACCTTTCCATATTTTGAACAAATCTCGTGTTGTGGGTAAATTTTTGCACGAATTTATAGTAATTTTTTTCTATTTTATTTTAGTTGGATGATACAGGTATAACTGATGTAGATATTAATATTGTCATGGAACAAGCTAGTGTATCCCGTAACAAAGCAATTAAAGCATTACGAGAAGCTAACAATGATATTATTAATGCAATTATGGTAAATTAATTTAGCATTTATATGAATTTACAATTTTTATTATAGACATTGACACTTTGATTGGAAATTTAGAAGATAATTTAATTTTTGCCTTTTATATGCTTTTTATTCAAAATTTAATAAAATTTTCTATACTTATATATTATCTTACATGCACATACATCATTATATTTTTACTACCGTTAATCATGTACTTAAACTATAAATGTATATATTAAAAATTTGCATAAACGATACCAGTTGTTATTTATTGTACAAAATTATTGACGAGTATATATTAACAGATATTACAAGGTTTTTAAAAATTCATAATATTTTTCAACACTCATCTTGGCAACCTGTACACAAAATTCCTCATCCGTACCAGAGACCAGAGCTTTCATTGAAATGTATAAGGGTTTTGTTTCATCGTATTGTATTTTTTCAAGGTATTTCAAGAATAAATGCCTATATTTGATAATTTTGGACCGAGATGTAAGAATATTTGGCCATTTGACAATCAATTCCCTTTTAATGCCCATATCGTTAGTTAGGTAATCATACCTTTTTATTAGATTAGTTCGATCTTTATCATAAAAAAAAGAAGAAATAAAATATATAATTAAAAGTAATAATTTGTTTGAGTTTATCATTCTATTTATTAAATATAATGAGCAAATCATATAAAAAAATATTGACTGCCAATGTAGATTTATCAATTATAATTTTTTATACTCTTGGTAATTAATAAATGATCATACATTTAATTAGTAAAAAAAATAAAATTGCTCCAAGAATCTGTGAGACTTGTAATCTAAAGATTTATCGAATTCTAATTATCTCAATTTTTTACTGATTACGGGTGCTGCTCCCTCACTCATCTAAATATAACTGTCCAATTATTATAGGGTTCTCCATTTAGAGTGATTTAAAAAAAGGCCATGCTATTTGGGGATAATTAAGATGTTTCCAAATTTTGGATATATTAAAATTACGCATAATCCATTTATTAAAATAGTGCTGTAAACGTTACTTCAAAAAAGAAGCACGTTACCTGCTATTTAATAAAATCGTTACTTTAATAATACTAAATATATATATATTCTCAGTAAGTCACAACTAGGGGAAATTTTACTATTATTTTTATTAAAAAAATAATAAATATGCGATTGTAAATATAAATTAACATATATTTTTTTTCCCTTTTTATGGATTACATAAATTTTAGCGAGATCATAATTTCATCTACAAGAACCATGGCTTTTTTAAAAGATCACGAGCTTCTTATTAATCACACGTGTTATAATAGCATCAAAATGGGAAAAAATGCAGCATCCTTAATTTTTATTTTATTAATTAGGCATCATATTTGAAAATATTAATCTTCCTGTGAACAAATTTATTCATCCATTATAACTTTTTGTGTCCAGGACTTCTATAAGTGAATCTTCGTTTAATAGGTTTGGCACAAAGTACTATTGAAAAATGGTGAGCAATAGGTAGAAAGTTAATGGATTATATTGGGCTTGGGATATTTTTATAGTAGTGATAAGTTTGGTGATCATTCTAAAGGTGCCAATTTGTCATCTTATATAGCTAGATATAGTTATGTAGGAACGAAAACGTCACCAGGTATAAATTTAATATTGAAGGTTTTTTAAATGTGATTTTTTGATATTTTTATGTTTTTTTATTTTTTAAATATTTTCCATATGATATAATTAATAATAAATATCGTTCACATATTTAAAATGTGTTTTCATAAAAAATTATTTACCAAAAAAAATGTATTTTAATTGACAACTGTATTTGAGTAGGTTTAGAGATATATTACATAAAGAATCAATGGTCTGATTTTTGGGGACCCATTTTTCGGGGGAAATTTTCTAAGTCAATAAACATGGTCAATTAAATGTTAGAAAAATATTATGGGGTAGGGTTCATATACACAATAAAATTTATTCGGGGATATTTTTTCAAAGATGAGAAATCTTTGGTCAAATGTTACCTAAAAATGTCAAATATTTTTTTTGTAAAAATATATCTTTTTTTTGTAAAAATATATCTTTTTTATAATTTCCATGCGTCAAAAATCTTTCAAGATGAAATAACGAATTTTAATCTTATCCAATGTTTTTATAAAGAATTCAAAAAAATTATTAGAGAGTGAGAAGCAGCCGGTCTGATTCAAACTAGTTCAAGAGAATGCTCTTCAACCAAATCAGTTTCTCCAAGACAGGTCTCCATTTTTTTGACCGGATTTTTAAAAATTAGAATTTTTACATACTTCATTTTGGGTCTGTAAAAGATCCCTTTCATGAGAGGAATGGGGGGGGGGGGGATTAAAAAAAATTCATAATTGAAAAATACCAATGACTAAAGATCAAGTCAAAGTAATTCCCAATTCAGTCATGGGCTTTGGTTTATAATTTTTTCAATATAAAGTTATAACTATAAACCCTTTATATTAAATACTAACTAATAAAAGCTAGGTCTAAAAGAAAATTCTGGAAGCGTGACTAAAATACGCATCTCCTTTTATAGAAGCTTAAATTTAATAAAAATTAATAAAGGATCGTATTTTTAATAAAATATTTAAAAAAAATACTGTCTAAATACGCATCGCTGATCGATAATTATGTGCTGTTTTTTTAAAAAAATGAATGCATAATCATGTTATTATTATAGTAGTGCAAATTTAATAAAATTAATATAGAATCTTGTTTAGCTTTTTGAGATGATTTAGAAAATCTTATTTTTAATGGGTAAATTAGTAAAATATCAAAAAACACTATGACTAAAATAAATATTTTAAAAAATGAATGCAGAATCATGTTTAGCTTTTTAAAAGATTTCAGAAAATGTTACTAGAAATTTAAAAAAAAATTGATATTGAGATATAATCAATTTATTTGACTAAATTACAAATCCATAGGCATGCCTTAATAAAAAAGTTTTAATATTAAATAATAAATAATAAATATAGAATCATGTTTAGCTTTTTGAGGGGATATTCATTTTTTTTTTTAAATTTAAATATCGAAATTTATTTTTTGACTAAACTATGCACCCTCTTTATAATAGAAACGCAAATTTAATAAAATTCATATAGTATAATATTTAGATTGAGGTGTTATTTTAAAAAAAACTGATAAATTAGTAAACTCAAAAAAAAACATTTTTTTAGATTATTAAAATACACATCACCATACAAACCCCTATACATCCTTGATGATTATGCACTATAAAAAATGGTAGAATCATGTTTAACTTTTTTATTGGATTCTGTTAATATTAATTTTTTTGTTAATTAGAGCCTTTCCAATAGGAGATGATATGGTTTGTAATTTAGTCAATAAAGAGAAGTGTTTTAACAAATCAAATAAATATGAATCATATTTAGGTCTTCAAGGGGATTCATAAAATGTAAATTGATTTTTTAATATTGTAAAAAAAAATTTTAAAACTATGCATCCCCCCCTCTAAAATGGAACCACCAAGTTAGCTTAAGAAAAACGGTCCTTGCTGGATTCAAATCATGATAGAATTGGCGAGCTAAGCTTTTATTGACTAGAAAGATGATTTCCAAAAATTATGATTTTTATTTTATAAATATTACAACTAAATGTGGCAGTCTCAATTCAAATAAAATACCAATTGGTTCAACAGAGCCTTTAGTGGTAAGTAACAATAACCTTTTAGGTTATTAAATTTAATATCCTCAAAAATTTTAGATTTTTAGTTGGTTTTAGAAAATAAAGATAAATATAGTTAAAATTAAACAAAAAAATAAAATAAGCTCATAGATTTTATTTCAGAAAATATGATAGATGGCTTAAATTAATATGGGATTTTTAAAAAATTAGTGAGATATTGGATGGATCCATAATATTCCCAAAATTAACATTTTCCGAATCAACTTGAAGTGCCAAATATGATTCTATATTTATTTTGTTAAATTAGAGCTCTTTTAAAAGTGGATAGTTTGGTCGAAAAAAGAAGTAATCCCACTAAAAAAATTAATATTAACATTTCTGAAACCTTTTAAAGAGTTAAACATGATTCTGCATTTATTTTTTTTATAAAGGATGCATATTTTAGCCATGTATAAAAAAGTATTTTTTTGATATTTTATTAATTTACCAGTTTTTTAAATTAATAAAAAAAATTTCTAAATCAATTTGATAAGCTAAACATAATTAGATATTATATTAAATTTGTGCCTTAATAATGCATAGTTTCTGTGTACTATGCCTTATTATAGGCTAGACCAAAAAAAACTTTAAAAAAATTTATTCAAGTTTGGGTCAACCTCTAGAAGATAGACAAAAGGCCCTTTAAATCAATTAGAAATGCCTTCCCTATAGTGACCAAAAGAAAGGGACAATTCCTAAATAATTTTATGGAGACTAATATTTAAAATATTTTAACCTGTCATAAGTGTCAAAGGATATTCTTGGAATATTGATTTAATTTCTTGTTTACTAAAATTTAGTTCTTTAATCATAGTCATGGATGTTAGCTACATATGAATTAATTTTGAAAAATTATACTAAAAATACTTTTAACAATTGAAAATTGTAATCTATAATTTTTGGTGAAGATAAAAAACTTAATCGAATATCTTTTGAACTCAAGCCAAACAATTTTTGAATGTTGCCTATAATAAATTTAGATTTTATATAACCATAAGAATACCTAGTCTAGAGTCCAATTCCAATGTACTTATAGACAAAATTTTTGGATATTTAATTACTAAATATGTAATATCATTGTGGGAAAATTTTTTCCATCTTAAATAATTAATTCGGACATGCAGATTGTCAGTGTCTTCTAAGAACAAAAATGGATTTTTTGTGATTACATTATGTATCATGTTGGAAGGAATGTTCAATTGAAGCAAAAATAACAAATATTTTTTTATGTCTCTATCAAAATCTGCTTTAATCAAATATTCTGGTATATTTTTCAATTTATCAAATTGTGATATATCAACACCAATCTTTATCAGGTTTTGTAAAGTTATGTTACTATTAACAAATTTAGCTAAATTAGCTCCCACATGAGGTTCACTTATATTAATAGAATTATCAGTAGGGATAATAGATTTAACGTTAATATTAGAGGATAACCCATAATAATATTTAATTGTACAATTTATATAAGAATTAAGGTGTTTAAGAATTAATTTCATATTTCGACGAAATTTTCATATTTTATATTTCAATGAATGAATGTAAATTTATTATCACCATATGGAAAAGATGGCAAGTACTAAACTTTGATAGGTCTTAAAGCAACTGTACAAAAATATTCTAAGTAAAATAACACATAAAATATAATCAAAAATATATATAAGTATCTAACAAGGCATAAATAGTTGATATCCATGCAGTTTCTGAGAAAATATATTTTATACAGTTATCTTGTGCATACACGTCAAAGTTTAGCTACAAAATATGTAATCTGCATAGTATTCAGCCATTCATTGAAACGAGATTTTGAAAGATTTGAATAGGCCAAGGGTTTATTTTCTGGTAAAAAAAATATTTTCTACAGATTTTTAAAAAATTCTATTTGGTAAATTAAAATAAGGTAATAAAAATAAATATAAAATACCTGTAATAATATTGCTAATTATTATGAAATTGATAAATTCTGTCTGAGAATTAGGTTGTTCTAATAAATATTAAAAGTTATAATTTATATGAAAGATACTACTTTCTCCTATCTCGATATTTTCTACATAGATTATTTCTCTTCTTTTTTTTGGACAATCCAATAACTGTTAGATCAGATTCTTTACACCTGCTATGCCTTTTCATTCGTTAGATTGCATGTTCTGCTCTCCATATTCTCTTTATCTAAAATAGTAAAAAAAATTATTTTTTGATCATATTTAAAATTTGGAAACTAATGAAAGAAATTCAAAAATGAAACTACAAATAATAACATACTTTCATCATCTTTTTGTTGTTTGTCTCTTTCCAAAATCATGTCAATATCTTATATAAAATTATATATTTTTAAGATAAAATATTACTTAGTATAATTGCGAACACTTTCTCCTGTAAGGCTGTGGTAGCATGATGGTATGGATATGAGGTTGTAGCAGTATCTATAGATTTTTTAGAATATTTATAATTTTATATTAGATTTAAGTTATTTTAATCACTATTATTTTTTAAATACGAGGTATAAATATGAATTGATAGGAAACGTTAGTTACGTGATCTATCACTAAAGCCAAAAATTTGAGCGATTTTTTTAAAATATGTAATGAGTTATTATGATGTCCTTTATAAAAAAAAGGGAACAAAATTTTGAAAGTTTGATTAATTTATATAAAAAAAATATAAGCATACAATCTCTATATAATTATTTTATTAGATAACTTAGTTAAATATCTTTTATCATATCACAAATCTGATTTGGATAATATAGTAGCAAATATAACAAATAATGATTTCAAATTTTTAATAGAGTAAGAAATGAAATGTATTATAAAATGTGTTTAGTGTAATCAATTTGTTAGATATACTACCAAAAATTTTCCCCTTTATTTTTGAAAACTTTGATCAATGCATTGAATTATTTAAGAGTTGCATTAAAACATGCATAAATCTTGGAATCAAGTCAAAAGTAAGTAAATAATAAGATTATAAATAAATTATTTTTAGGAAATATCTACAAATCATATAAATATTGATGTATGCTTCATTAATTTACCACTATGTCAAGATATAACACAAATTAGATTTCCGTTAACTCAAGATCTAGGAAAATTTTTGTGCATAAAAGGTTTTTGTTAATATATATGATAAGTTTTTTAATTTTAATATAAGGTACTGTTATCAGAACATGGACTGTTAAAATGATAGATTGTATACGATGGTTTGAATGTCAGAGATGTTTAAAATCTTTCAAAATTTATTTGGATGTGGAAAAATCTATAATTAGTAATGTATCCAGTATGTGCAAACCGGCAAAATGTGTTGATATTCAATGTAATTCTAAAAAATTTAAGCTTACCACTGCTGACAATCCAAATGGTGATAATTATTTACAATTTATTTTTATTAATGATAAAACTGGAAAATAATTATTACTTTTATTATGAAGTAGAAAAATGTCTATTTATTTTTAATTTATTTCCTGTGATCAGTATAGCAAAAAGTTCTTAAACTAAAATAAATTTTTACAATAACCTCTTACAACTGAGTTAAAAAAACTAATCTACATATTTTTAGATGTACTGCAAACTTAAAATTAATTAGGAAAGGATAAAACAATATTTAATTTCTATTTATTTACTATACTGAATATTTGTACCCAAAAATAGATTATGGTAAAATTTTTAAAGTGTTAGTACATGAAACATGATATATTTAAATATTTCGCATAAATATTTAATATTAATCAGATATGCACAAATACTTTGATATCAGTATTGGACTCAAGGAATCTGTTGGTATTGACTTATACTTTTAATCATTACTAGTGACCAATACCAAAAATAGTAATTATTAATATGTATGGGAAAAATTGATCTACAAATTTCTAGACAGATAGGAAGAAATAACGAAAGCATTTTTAAAAAATATTAGGCCCCACACCTAATTTTCATTTTTAACCCCATTTTACAAAACAAGGGTCTAGGGTTGGTCAATTAACCATAGTAATATATGACCTGGTCAAATGCTAAAAAATCTGAAGAGAAAATAATCAAAGATATTCTTGAAAAGAAAATGATATAAATATATATGTTCACAATTCAGCTTTTTTATTGGATCTCCAGTGAAGCAGGTTATATAAAACAATAATTAGACATACAAGGTGGTAATAATCAAAATATATTAAATGATATATTTCAGAGATAGAAGTATCATATTTGATAGCAAAATATTTTGAAAGCTATAATTTCCATAACAAACGATCCGGTTTTTATACATGGAATAGCTGCCTTTGCCCAAAAAGAGAGGTGGCATTTTACTAATAATTCCTAGTTCTACTTATTCTATTCTTTGGGAAGAAATTGGTTGATTTGAGATAATATTTATATGATAAATATTAGGGCTATGCCGATCCACATATTTTTCACCGATCCAATCCGATATTGGTTCAAAACCGATCCGATATTTATACTGATTTTTCATCACCCCTCTTTGAACCAAATGTAATTAAGAAATCAATTTTTTTTATGCAAAAGAATTATGCATTTAATTTAATTTTTTTATTTCAACAATAATTTTAAAAAATTATATTATAATAGATAAATTAAATATAAGAGCCTGTAGATTTTCAGGCAAAGGATCAGAAAATTTCCAAATATTAGTTTTATTAAGAATGGCTGATATTGTTGGCTGACTTTCAGGGCTCTTTTTTTAAAAAAATTTGATTTGTTTTATCTAATATTTCTCGTTTTTTTTGTATTAGCTCTTTGAATTCCGTTTGATGGAATCGCTATAAATGTTTCCGAATAAATGAATTTTTCATTATTCCTCCCCATGAAATAAGAATTCCGCAGATAACGCATTTTGCAAAATTCTCTTTATCTTTATCAAAATATTTCCATAATTCAGAAACCCTATTTAAAAAATTCTTTTATTTAAAGTATAAATAATAAAATTGGTATTATTTTTTAAAAAAATTAAAAATAAATAAAACTTTGGGTGTTCCTTTCTATTTTTATAAAAAAACTTTTTTGCATTTTTAGTAAAAGGATAGGATCGGGATTTTTACAGGTATCTACCCGATCCGATATTTTTGGAAAACGCTAAATATCGGTATCGATCCGATCCGATATTTTATATCCACACAGCCCTAATAAATATAAACTGAATATCTTGACAGCAAGAAAATTGTTTAAAGATATTAATGAAAATGATAATATTGAATATGAACAAGAACAAGACTCTGCCACATAAAACAAACATTAATTATAGAATGAATTTACAAAATATAAAATTTAATATTAATGTTGTAAACGAACGCGTTCAAATTAAACGCATTCGTGAACGAAGTTTATTTTTTTTCGAAAAAGATGTATGATGTTACTTTTTTTTTGACGAACGCGTCCTTTTTTTAGTTCGTTTAATTTTAAAAAATCTTCTTATTTTTTTTTCATTTGAAAATAATTTTTTTTTTATTGACTCTAAGCTTTTATTATTTTATCTAATATATTTTGTTATAAAATATATAGTATATATTTATATTAAATGAAATTATAAAAAAAATGTATTCATAATGAACGAACGTGAATGCGTTTCTTTTTTGGGTTCGATTTTTGCCAATGAACGTTGAACGTGAAAGGGGTTGTTTGAATTTTTTGGAAATATTTGCAGTACTATACAAAATAAAGTTGTCTTAAAAATCATTTATCTAAATTTGATCATATTTTGCTAGTCAAATATTGATCATTTAAGTAAATCCTATTTGTCTAGTCAAATACACAATCCTGCATGGGTCTTTTATACACAGGGTTTTCAAAAATTATATTTTAACAACTTCCCACCACCCACATGGAACTATTTTTAAAATATACATATTATTTTATTTAAAAGGGCAAAAATTTACTTTAAATTTACCAGTTTTAAAAAAATAATTTCCAGATCCGTTAGACTCTTGTTTAGTAATAAAATTATTTTTGAGTCTTTTAAAAATATATTTATCATAAATAGAAAATACGAGAATTAAATGAATGCGATATATTCTATGACAATTCAAAACCTGACAGACTTGAGTCGTCCAGAGAATATCTGGATAGACTTAAAGGTTGTGGTTCGGGATTGAATTCGGAATTAATATCGGTTCAATTCATGATAAATTGTCGTGATGAAAAACTCAAAGCAAGATTGTTAGAGGAAAATACGACAGATCGTAACATTATTTATGATATTGTTGTCAAATTTCAATCAATTGAGATAACTAATAATAAGACCTGTGAGGAGAAAAATTCATGGAGAAGAGATGATGGAGCGGAATGGCAAGGCAGTTTAGCATGGAAGGAAAACAAACATGGTTTTAAGTCAAACAAAAACAACAATTTCAAAAAACAAGAGATTATATAGACACCATATAATCTGAGGCCAAGAAATAAAATTAATTTTATGAATGATTTTATTATTGACATGCAACTAAATAATCTCAACAATGTTAAGATCTGTCTTATTTTCCTCTAACAATCTTATTTTGAGTTTTTCATTACGACAATTAATCATGAATTGAACCTATATTAATTCCGAATTTAGTCCAGAACCACAACCGAAGTCTATCCAGATATTCTCTGGACGACTCAATGAGACTAATAGTCGATAGTAGTGATATAAGAACTTGGAAAGCGGTATTGATTGAGAATGTATATTTTATTGTTAACTGTTTATCTAATATGAATTCTTTTATATAATTTAACAATTAATGTTTATTAAGACAAGATTTTATTTGTTTGAATATCATTTTTTAATCAAAATAAGTATCGTCGATAATATAAAATTTTAGGTAAAAAAAAAACTTCTTTTTCTGAATTAATATATATCAAAATTACATATTTTAATATAACTTAATGCCCAATTTACATATCACGATCTACAATTATTGCCTCAAACAGTAATCATTTTCATGAACATGTATATTAACGCTTTAGATAATAAGAAATATATTATATGACATTAATGTGTTTATAAACATTAAACTTTAAATTGAAACAACATTATTTAATATAACATGTTACCAAAATGTAACAATATTAATATTATATTCAACCCAGCCCGAACCCAGATTAATTAAGAAAAAATTTACCCGGCCTAGCCTTGGTCTGGGCCTGTAATTCGCTGATTTTATTTTATAATTTATTTTTAGATAATAAAATATGTGGTACCTCAATGAGTAATAGACCTGATACTATGAAAGCAGACGACTATCAGGAAATTAAGATACAAGAAAGAACTCAATCTTCCACATTCACAGGGTACATGATATAATTATCAGAATAATGATTAACAACTTAAAAAAATAACAGTTACAAAATGTAAATAAAAATAATTATTTTTATTTCATAAAATGACAAATATAAATAAAAATTGCTATTTTTTGTAAATGATTGGCCTATTCATACTTTTAATAATATCGATTATCGGCTGATATCGTTTATTTGATATATCAAATTGCCAAGTTAAAAATTTTATACAAATATATGGCATAATTTTTTTTACATTGAAATAGTCCATTAGCTTCCCAACAGTAAGTTTCCTATTTGTAAAATAGCGATTAGCTTGGGTTTTGATAGAATGGTGGCCAATTTGAATTCCCGCAAGATATGATTTGCAATTAGAGTGTCATAATAATCGGTCTCGGGTTGTAAGCGATTTCGGTTATGCATACCTTTGCTATCAACACATGTTTTTTTACGTCACATACTGAATAACCTAAATTAGAGATCAGGCATTTAGAACATGGCCATATTTTTATTTTTGCATCAAGGGTCTAGGAATGTTTGAAACTAACATATTCGCGAAGGCGGAAAGCAGGCTAATGCTTGATTCCGCTGTAAGATTAAGGGAGTGTTTAAGAATATCGTCGGTCGATGTTTATGTATTGGGATGAACCTATTAACATTTAGTGAAAATATATGCCTTAGACAAAAATTGAGTTACGTCCAACGGAATGAAGAAGAGTGATGTTTTTTATTTATTTTTAACGTTGATAATTCAATTTTTTTTGGTCACTAATTTTTAATTTTAAAGTAAAAAGCTCAGTCGTTCCCGCACGTGCAAAGTTGTTCTTCGGGGCTCCTCATTGGTGGATTCTTGTAAAGTTGGGGATGACGTCACTATAAATGGAGTGTTGCGTTTAAGATACTATTTCGAGTTTGGATTTTTTTTTAAAAAAATGCATATTTTTATGTGATATTTTTGTTCCTTATTTTTTTAAAAATAGCGCCATCTAAGTTTAATACTTTTCTTTGAATTTCGTCTACTTATGACAGGGATACTTTCTATCTTTTGCTACTTGTATTAAAGTTCTCAAAAAATTAAGTTACGCATTTATAAAATTTATTTATCCAATAAAAGACAGTTTAAAAAAAATTATATTCTTTTTAATTTCGTTTAATCATCCTAAGTTCTTTTTAATTTTGTTTATCATCTTAAATTCCTTATCTATGCTTTATTCTTAGCCCGCGGGCAGCGACAGAATCTGGAATAGAAATGGAAACTGTTTTCGTGGCAAATCATGTGACCGTTGACAACGAAATATCGAATGAATTCACTCATAGTTTGACTTACGCGCCCCTTCAAATGAAAAATGTTATTGGGGGTCTGCAGTTACCTGATCAAGTATATGGCTTTTTTTTATATTTACCAATTTTTTCTTTAAAAAATTACAAATAGGCCCTAAAGATGTTAAGAATAAACTGGATCTCCTCAAGAAAAAAAAATAATTTAAGAAAATCAAATTTAATCTTCGTTGTCCTTGCTTGAAATTTTTGTTGAAAATATCTAAATTCAAAATTGGCTTAAAATAAACTTCATTTTTTTTAAAATAGGCTGAAAATGAATTTATCCATTTTTGGAAAATGAATTCTGACACTCCTTTCAAAGCTCGCGATTCTCTCTTATCTGGCATATGTCCTCATGTAAATTTATTTATTATATATATTACCTGCTAAATTTGAGCGCCGTTGGGACCAAGATTTTTGCCCAACATATTTGACCAATTTATCAAAACATTTTATTTATTTTATAATAAAAAAAACATTTTACCATCTGTTATATTCTTAATTTCGTCAATAGATTATGTTCAACCATTTTCGGATAATTTTTTTTAATCCAAATCATCAGTAAAATTATGTATATATACATATATATACTATGTACAAAATAAGAATGTATAAAAAATTTATGTAATAAAATAAAAATAAGATGTTATTTGGTACAATATGTTTTATTTGCACGGCATTTGATAATTTCTTCTTTGGATTTATGAATATTGTGAACAATTCCTTTAGAAATATTAGATCTTATTAGCACATTATCTGTGGGTATGATGATTTAGAAATTTAATAACAAAAAATTTTTTTTAATTTACGATAACTTATTATATTTATTTTCTATATTAATTTTATTATTTTATATAAATAGTTTCAAAATAATGAAACAATTTTATAATATAAATGAAACGCAACAAAAAAATAATAAATGCCCACTTTATAAAGTTTTTACGTAAATGGAAAAAAAATTAAATCTGCTCTCTTTTTAAAGTAGAGTGTTGCCCAATTTATCAAGGTATTTCTTATAGTATTTTAATAGGAATTTGATTGGAACGGGATTTTTCCGAATTATCAAGAGACCAAATGAGACAAGGTTGAATGTAATTCAAATAAATAAAAATATTTTAAATTTCAAAAAAAAATTAGTTATTTCTTTTAACCCCGCTCTTGCAATATAGTAATAAAAAAACAAGGAAACGATTATTAAAAAATATCAGCTATCTAGGCGTCTCATAAAAACGCCTAGGCCCCCTGATATATTGACAAATTATGTAAATATGCTGGATGGAGGGTTCATATTTGAAATTTAATTTATCAGTTAAAATAAGATTTCGGATGGAGACGGGGATCAAATACCTTCTTAATTCCTTATAAATAGCACCTGGAGTTTCGCCTCGTTTATTTTTGCCCCCGTGTTGGAGGGTCTTTGGGAAAGGGAACAAAAATAATTTGTATTCACACAAGAAAAATAGAGGGTTAAATTAATTTTTTTTTAAAATTAGATTTTTGGAGCTTACGCAATCAAGTTGGCTTTAGCCCTCGTGTTAGCTGGTGGGATAGAAATCAATAGTAATTATGCAAAAGAAAAAGATTGCCATAATCAAAGCGATAGAGATGGTGACAATTTTTTTTTTGATATTATTATATTTTTTTTTCAGATGCTCATGTTAACGTTAATCGCGTAAGAGGGCGGTGCCATTGTTTGCTGATTGGCGACGAAGGGACGGGAAAATCGCAATTCCTAAAATTTGCTTCAAAAATATTACCTAGATCTATCTATACGAATGGTAGTTTATTAATTTACATAATATAATTTATGGTTAAAAGAGAAGAATTTTTATGAAATGATATAGTAGTATGATTCATTAACGAAAGAAATACCATGACCAGGCGAGATATATGGGACAAGATAAATTTTTTTGATACCCAATAATCAGATAATAATAAACCAAAAATATATTTAAAAAAATTTTGATGATAAGACATATATTTTTTAAATTCTTAAACAAACTTTTTTAATTTCGTGTGCTACCGCATCTCACTCCACTCGTATTATTCTTGAAAATGCTAATGACAATCTATACATTTAACAGTTAGATTTCAATATTACTCTTTGACACACTCAAATTTATCCTCGATATAAACAACTCTTTCTAAACTAGAGGTCTGCATTGGGCGGGTTTTTGGACCATAAGCCCGTCCACCCAATGTTTTAAAATTTTTTAACCCGCCAGCCCAGCCCACCCATAGTTTAAAAAAATATGTGCGCATCCCCATCAGTCTAGAATTCCTTACCCGCATGCCCGCCCATTAGTTTAAAATTTTTTTCCCGCCCACCCATTATTTATAAAAAAATTTTAACCCGAGTCTGCTATTATAAAATTTAAATAGGATCATTCTTTCAATTTTTTAAGCATCTACTAAAAAAAATTCAGCATTACACCTTGACAAAAAGTTTTATAATTTAGGTAAGCATAAAAAATATTCATTTTATATTATGGTAAATTATTTGATCAAATAAAATATTTATGAAAAAAATATAAATATAACATTGATATTATATATAATTATAATGCAAAAATAATAATGAATCGATATTTTCTGGATTCAAACACCTTCTTCTTTGTTCTAAAAACCTTTCAGCTATGCTAAATCCTCGTTCAGATGAAGCAATAGTTGCAGGAATTGCCAATATTTTACTTACTAATCTTGTTAGCTTTGGCAAATCTCTTTCTTGTCGTTCTCTTTAAAAAGGGCAGGCGGGCGGGCGATTAAAAAATCTTTAAAATATGGGCGGGTGGGTGAGTAAAGAAATTTAAACATTGGTGGGCGGGTTAAAATTATTTTAAATCATTTAAGCAGATAGTAATAAAATATGTTCTTATGAATTTTTTTGAATATTAAAAATTAAAATATCCTTTTTTGGTATCATAAAAACCTTTTAAAATAAAAAAAAAATTTTGGATATTTATTTTTAAACCGGAACCGAACCTCAAAATTCCGTTTATCTAAATTTTTGATGTTGCAAAAAATTAACCTTCTTTTAGTATCTTACTTAACTTTTTACTATCATTAATAAAGCCTTAAACGTTAGCCACGCTGGTTTAACCGTCACGGCGGTTCGATCATCCGAGTGTTCCCCACGTGATTCTCTAAGTGGAGGTTGGGCTCTTGAAGCTGGGCTGTTAGTGCTAACCGACGGAGGCGGGGCTCTGTGCTTAGAATCAATCGACTCACTCAAAGGATCAGATCTGACGGCATTGCATGAAACTATGGAACAGCAAACCATTAGTGTGGCTAAAGTTTGTGGAAACCTTATGAATATATATTTTTAAATCTTGCTACTAGAGCACATTTAATATGGAGTTGATATGTCTTTTAAATAAATTTATGAAATTCTAGGAAGATGCTCTTATTTACATTTTTGATAATGTCTAAATAAATATTAACTGATTAAGTAATTTGGAAATTTAATGTTTAATTTTTTAAATATTAAAGTCATTAATTAGAGTTTTGCAAAAAAACTTCAGTCTTTTTATATAATAAGACTATAGATAGAACACTCATCCAATTCCCCATAGAATAAATTTATATTTAACAAAAAATATCGTAATCATTCTAGCCTGTTGCAAATAAACGAATTTGCATATTAGTTATATAGAGCAGAAAAATGTTTAATTATAGCAATAATAAAATATACTAATGCGTAAAAACCCCATAGGTCGGACAATGCCGACCTCTATACCTGCTGTGATAGAATTTTAACAAAAATAACTTATAATCTATGCCTCTAATTGTTTCAAAGGCTTTTAGGGTTTTAACGTAATACATTTATCTGTTGTCATTAGTTTCACTAAAGTTATACTTTTTTACTTATTTGTTTAATTGCGTTCTGAAAAAAAGTAATATTTATATGGACAATCCAAATATAATTTATAACTTCCGATGCCTGAAAAAAATATATATTATGTTTTTTTAACAAACCCACAAAGGCTGGTATAGTATGCAAACTGAGTTCGAAATCGTCCATCATAGCTAGCATAACTCCTGCTCAAAGATACGAGTCCAATCAAGTTAATATATTGTTGTTAAACAGCTCTATTTATAATATCGGCTAGCTCAATATATTAGCCAAATAAATATTACGCTAGCCGGATAATTTTTCTCATAGATGGTAGAAGGTTTCGACATCTGTTATCGAAATCTCAAAGGTTTTTGCTTAATATTATTTTGGTGAAAATCTTAATTTAAAATTGACTAAATCGAGCAGTTTAACAACAATAGCCATTTTATTTGATAAAATTCTCCTCTAAATATAAAGTATATTCTTAACATATATTCCTACCTTGCGTCATAAATTGAGTCATTTGACATCAAGTATCACTTGTCGCCTCACTATTCAATTGGTCATTATTAGCTTTGTTTTTGCCTTCTATTTACAAACGAATGCTAAGGCAATGTCATAGCTTAAATTTAAATCAAATATGCAATTTTTGTCTTATCTAAATTTTTCCTTTTTTTTAAAAAAAAAGGAACATTTCTCTCACGAGTTATTATCAGGATAAATTAAACTTAAAAAATGAATATGCAAAATAAAATGATAATAATATTTACGAATAATAAGATAGTAACATTTCAAAAAAATATTAAGAATAAATAGAAGATGAGCGAAAAACGCGATGAGCTAAAGTTATCATTATAAATGGATCGTTTATTTATTTATATTCTATTTTAGACCTTGACAAACAGCCTTGCTATTTCCAAAGCTCTTTTGAGTCGATTTGACTTAGTTTTCCTCTTGAAAGACAGGTGTTTTGATGTCAGTTGGGATACCTCTGTAGCGAATCATGTTTTAAATGGGTTCGTTTTAATTTAAAAATTAATTGATAAATTTAGTGGAAGGAGATTATATTAGAAAAGAATGAAGAAACGAAGGAAAATTGGAATGAAAAATTATATTCTATCAATAATCACACATTTTTTTCCCATGCTATTTTTATTAGAGATCTGGAAGCATGGTCCATTAACTTTTATTACTTTTTACTGGACCCGGTCAGTTTTAATTAATTTGTACATGTTTTGCGGTCCATTAATTAAGTTAAAATTTTACTTAAAATTAGCCCAGTCCCTGATTTTTCGGGCAAACTGGGCCCTTGCAGATATTTGATATAATCAACGGTATATTGATTAAAATTGTTTGATTTATTATATCATTAGATTTTAACACTATAATTTCATTTTTCAACAACCCTAAATAAAAAGATTGGTTTTTAACAAGTCCTAAAATGATTAGAGCTATTAAGCCAATCAAATAATACATGTTATTGTTTTTCGATTTGGAAGCAAACTCGTGTTTGTCTATAACCAGAGAAATTAGATTACTCAAACAAGTGGCCTTACATCAAATCGAGGTCTGATAAAAATCGCAGCGTTTTAATCTGATATCAACCATTAAATTTTGATACCTTTAAAGTTTTTAATTATTCATAATAACGCCTTCCCATAATTATTCCGCATCAGATATACACAGTCCAAATTCTGGGCAGCTAGCAGCCCGTCTAATTTGGGTCAGCACAGACTAAAATTTTAAGAAAATAATAGGTATATAGGAGTTTGGGTCTAAAAAAATTTTATTAATCAGAACTTTAAATAAAAAATAATTCTAGAAGCTACGCGGTCATGTATAACCTTCTTGGAATTCAGGGATTTCTACATCGAGGGAGAGGGTAGGGGGGGGGGGTTATAATAACTCAAAATCATCATTTGAAGGTGGGTAAGTCATTATGACGACACTATCAGATTTGTAGTATTGATTTGGATTTCCTCTTTTCCGAAAATTTTGCAGGATTTGGTAGGGTGTTAAGGAATGCAAAATTTTCAATGGAACAAAATGCAGGGCTGTGAACCCGGGCCCCTAACCCTTCGAACTCTGATATTTTACTGAACCAGAACTCCGAACCTTTTTTTAAATGTAGCGGTTCATGAATTTTTTTAAAGTATTTATTTTTTTTATTAATAATTCTTTATTTTATTATATTTTTTTTAAATTATAAAAATGAACAGTATTAAAAAATTAACATTTAAAATATTTAATGTTGTTAAACGACTCGTTTTGAGTCAATTTAAAAAGGCTAAGCCAGAACATTGCCTCGAGATTTCGCTAATAGATGTTTAAACCTTTGTGCTATCTATGAGCAAGATCTTCAGGCTTGCATAATAATTTGGATAAAATATTGAGTTCATCTTTTTTAAAAATCGGCTCAAACAACAATAAAAAATATTTATATAATTAAAAAAAATATATTAAATATTTAAAACATAATTATTGACTCGTGGGCATACGGGGAAATGAGTTTTTTTTTATATTTTCAAATATTAAATGATATCTTGTCAAAATGATTATCGTAGAATCGTTATTTAAAATATTATTTTATTCATTTTATATAAATTTAAAATTTTTCTGCACACCGAGCCCGAACCTGGTTCAGAGATTTTTCACACTCTAACCTGAATCGTCATTAGATTAGGGGATTGTCGAAGTTCCGCTTGAGATTATGAAATAAATTTACGATAACGGATAAAACATATCATTATATATTTCCCTATTTTTATATAGATATTTAACTCCATCAAATACCTCGGAAGCTTGTGAAGGTAAAATAATTATTAAAAAATATAAATTAGAGAATGGGAAAAAAGTTAATTGATAAATGAAATTTTATTTTTTATTTTTAGCGTGGAGTTTAGAGAAAGTGCAAAATTATTTTCTATACATAAAAAACGCAAGGCCTGTGGTAACACAACAGAGCCAATCGTAATGAAAAATTTTTTAACCTTTTTTCATCTAATAGAATTTTTATTTTACAATGTTTCTTCATTTTAATTTTAAGCTTTCCGCTGTTAAGTTTAATATTATATTCTCTTAAAATAGGATGACTGATCCCTTATATAATAATATATTATTTTGTCGGTATCCTCTTATGTTTAGATTTTGCCATTTTTAATTCATAATAATTAAATTAAGAATTTTTATAAACATTAAGGCCAAAATAAGGGACTTCACAAACGATCTTAAAATTTTTTAATATTATTAATAATATTTTGTTATTTTTTATATGGTTTTTTAATACTTTGTCTTTTAAATATGAATTTTAGGCTTAAAGAAGCCAATTTTTACGCCAAAAATAAATTAAATCATAGGATTTCCAACTTGGTAATTGATTAATTAACTTTCTGCAATGATCTTAGAAAGCTCTAAAAATTAGCAATTATTTACAAATAGATTTTTAGATCCTCGAGGCAATAAAGTCCTTAAAATTTTAAATAAGTTAGCTCAAAGAGAATAATTATGAATCAATTTTTTTTTAAATGCGAGCAGAGTTGGGCAGGTCCTCGGGAAAAAGAATCTAGATACATATACAGATTCTTTATGAAAAAATTAATCTTAGATACAGATACTAGAATCTTTTTCAAAATATCAAAATACTTGTATCTTTTGCTTAAGTAGAATATCTTAAATACAAGATACTTTTAAATTATCATTACCAATTAAATTAGAAAAGTTTATAAAATACAGTTTTTAATATTTATTTGTGATGAATATTTACAATAATTAATAAAATATTTAATGAGTTAATTATAATAATGAGGCATTTTAATATTAGTATTAGCCTATTCTTAGCATAGATTGAAAGGGGAGACTAGTATTTTTAATGAGAGTTAAAATATTAATTTGCAAGAGAATATTTAAAATATGGTCATTACTTTACAAGATAATCAAATTTTTCAAATAATTTATCATTAGATCTAAACCTTTACCATTTCGGCATACTTAACATATGGCCCAAACTTAATATCCTTTCAATTAGAGCTGATGAAGGTAATGCAGTATTATATGTATAAAAAATTTCATCAATGGAAGAATAATAATTAAGCATTTATAATGTATTTCGACTTTCTTTAAAATAATTTAAAACCTCCAGTTCAATGTTATTTGAATTATTGAACTCAGCAACATTTGTTTCAACAAAAGGAAAAAAATCATCATTTTCTTTATTAGATGTTAAATCGATTGCTGTTTGATTATATACTCTGGTACTACATTTAGGGCTTCTTTTGTTAATATATTTTGAAAATATTTTTTTTATCATCCGACTCAATCCATAAGTTCCTAAATATGGATGTGATATTGATGTCAAAAAAGCCTTATTATATTTAAATCATATGAAAATATTTTCTTAATATCTTTTGCCCATACCATCTTTGGTAGCTTTGGTAGTCAATATTGTAAACTTGAATTTTTAAGATATATGCCCCTTTTAACCACACATAAATAATATATTTTAATGTTTAACAAATTTTGTGTTTAACCCTTTATCATTTTTTTGTTTATACAGGTTTTACATCTAGCTCGTATATTGTCTTTTTTAACTTTTGTTTAAAAAAAATTTCCATATAAAATTTTAAGATTGGGCTTTGATTCAGGGGAACTTATTTCTATAATTTAAATTTCACTACCTTCTTTTTCACTACTATGAGGGTTAATCATCCAACAAATTAAATATATTACATAAAATTGGTAATGATATTCTATTGAGTTACATTTATATATAAAATACAATCTTTACTAATTTTGTTTTGGTGTTGTTATTTTTTATCTATATCTCTTAATATGAGTTGGAAATTTTCCAGCTAATTTTGGTTGTCAATATATTTAAAATATGACGGAAAAAAATAAGGAAATTAATACAAGATTCCTGAAGAAAATAAGATATATACTGTGATATATAAAATTTTAAATATGAATATTAGAAAGAATCTGTATCTTTTGTCAAGAAAATGATACAAGATTTTTTTCAGAATAAATGATCCTAGTATCTTATTAAAAATGTCAAAAAGATACTGAGTACAAGATACAAAAGGATCTTGTATCTTAGATACAAGTATTCGCTGTACTGTCCAACTCTGAATGCAAGTTGAATTTTATTTTAATAAAAAAAATTCAAATGTATTTAATTAAATTGAAAATATTATTTCAAAATTTTTTCTTGAAAAAAAAAATAATTTTATCAGTATAATCTTTCAACGTAATATTATGGTATATTATTTACCTCTTTTTCATTTATAAAATAAGCCTTTTAAGCAAATACTATTGTTTTCATCGAAAGAGAGAAAATGACACAAAATTAAATTCATTTGGTTCATCAAGGAGCACTATAAGAATGCTGGAGAGTTTGATCAGATTATCTCAGGGTATTTTTATTTTTGAAACTTATAATTTTCTTTTAAAGAATTGAGCAAAATAAGCTACGAAATTAATTATTGTTATTTAAAATGCATAAGATTAACATTCTGGCTGGAATTTTTAAGATTGATTTATTTGAATTAAATATTTTCCTCCTACCGCTATTTATCAATAATTCTAAAAAAATGTATTTAATTATATTGATTAAAAAAAATTATTAGCCCACGCCAAATTAATGCTTCATCAAAGGGTAGAAATTGAAGACGCAATAAGTGTGATAGCCCTAATGGAATATTCGTTGCAGGTATTGTATATTATTTCATATTTAAATCTTTTTAATTTTAAAAAAAGTGAAGATTATCTGAGAAAGAAAAATAATAATTTATTGCTTCTTAGATTATTCTTTTTAAAAAAGCAACCAATTACCGTTACTTTTTTATTTTTGGCGCATAGAGGAATGCATTGGTTGGGCTAAATTATTTTAGACATTGGGCGAGTGAGTGGACGAGTTAAATATTTCTAAAATAATAGGCAATTTTAAGCATTTGACGTGGTAAACAAATTTTTTTAAATAAATTGGCGAGCAGGCAGATCATTTTTAAAAGGGCGAGTGGGTTATATTTTTAAAATAATGGACCCGCGTGCACTCTGGTTAAAACCGTCTATTGTAGACCTCTAGTAACGCATGACTGGTGGTATTACTTTATTAGTTTATTTAACATTATTAGTCTACTCTAAAGGATACAAACCCCTACAATTTATCAGATGCGAATGATGGGAACTATTTAATTCCTTTTCATTATTTTGATGCCTTTCCATCTGATGCGGATGATCATTACAAAAATATCAAAGATATTATACTTTCCAAAATTTGACATTATTTTTTTTTCATAAATTATTGAAATGTACAAATTATAAAATATTATTATAAAAGAAATATATTCGAAAAATTATCGATTATTTATATTAAATTGTGATAATTGATATAAAAATTTCTCAGGATCCAAATTTATAATGAAAAAAATATTATATTATCAGCTGCCACTATGTAGATTTATAAACTTGTTAATTGTAAAATTAATTTTGTTATGTTAAACTTTACCATGTCATTAATTTGTTAATTTTAATAATATAAATCATGTTTACACTTGATTTATATTATTTAACGCAACAGGAGTGGAAATGAATTATATATACATTGATTAGCTTACGAAAAAATTTAGTATTTTTACATGTATTTTATTTAAATCTACCGCCAATCTTACATTAATATAAGAATACATTTTTACTAATACTATAAAAAAATGCATATTAACTTAATTATATAATGGAAAATCGTATGAGATAGAGAAATAATTATTCTAGGATCTGCAGTATTTGTCTAGGATAATTTAATAAAATAAAAATTATGAATTCGAGATTTATCTTTTTTTTTCTATTCAGATTTTGACTGGTATTTACTAAATTTTTGATTTAGTGTTTAATAGCGCTGTAAACATTTCTAAAATTATCGAACACGTTCAACTTAAAAAAATGGAACGCGATAATATATGTCTAAACCTTTGTTCCTTTTATGAGCAAAATCTTCAGACTTTCATAATATTTTTCTGGATAAAATATTGAGTTAGCCGTTTTTAAAAATCGGCTCAAAACGAGCCGTTTAACAACACTATTTCACGTTGGTTCGAAACTTTATGTACAAATTTTTAAACTCAATATATTAGTCATGTTTAAAATGAAAAGTCTTAAGTGAATAAAAAATATTTTATTAAAAAAAATTCTTATTAATATTTTTTATTTTCAAATGAATAAAAATTATATTTTCTAAAATTGAACGAACGCGTTCGTCAAAAAAAAGGTACATAACAATAATCTAAACAAGGTAAAAATTTATTTATAAATCCTAACGTTTAAAACTTAGGTCATATAAATTCCTAAACTATATTTTTTTACTTTATACACCATGAAAATTGTATAAATCTGAATAATCTAGATTTTTTTAAAATAGAGATTTTAAAATCTCTGTACACATTTTACCATTTTTTTAAAAAATATTTTATAATTTTTATTAAAATAGAATATTAGAAATTAATATTGTTTAAGGGTCAAGATAATAAGAGTCCTAAGAACATAATCCACCCAATATATTTATTTCGATTAAAATTTCTCGAGCAAGAAGTAGGATCTTCCAAATTAACAGTATGCAACTCCCTCGTTGAAAATAGTGTATTTATCAGGATGGCAAAGTAATAGTATATGTTTAGATCTGTTAACATACCTAATGATACTAAGGCGGAATTTTGCAAAGCGGCTAATGTGTATAGGAATAATTTGGGCCTTTCCTCAAAATATAAAGCAGTAGAGTTGAGTCCCAGTCTTTTGTCGTAAATTTTGTCCTACGTATAAGAAAAAATAAATATAAAATAATTTATTATTAGCATATAAATTTTTTAAAAAATATATCATCGTAACGAAATTTTGAAACACTTCAAAAATTAATTTTTTTTTATATTTAACCTCATAACAAAATATAAAATAATTTTGCAATATTGCAACATGGTAAATCTTTTTGTCATGCCTGATGAGCTCCAACAAGATGATTTGATATTTTGCCTCAAAGTCGATAGTTTGGTAAAACAAATAAAAGGCAATCATCAGATAAATTAACCTCTGGTAAGATGACGGGAATGGTAACCAAAACGCCCGAAAGGGATCAGACTTGTGGACCACCTATGAAGACAAAAGATTTAGTACATCCAACTGCTATGGTTTCAATAACGTAGAGTTTTAAGTATTAACACCACTTCGGCGGAGGTGACAAAATAATTAATCTTTCTTCCTAACAGCCTTAAATAATCTAAGGAGCATTCTCTTGAAGAAGATTCTGATGGCAATTAGAGAAAAATTTTTGTTAGGTTTAGAGGAGTATTTTTGGCCCTAAAAAGGAGTATATGTTTAGCCAACGTTAGTATTTCAAAGTGTAGACTCTATTAGGAAGAATAGTTATTCTCGATATTAAAGAAGATTGTGAGTTAAAAAAGTTGTTACGTCTAGTATATATATATAAAAGGTTTAAACCCTCAAAGTCAGAGCTGAGTTTTTCCTCTAACTTTAGAACCTGCTGATCCTAATACTGATGGCAGATGTCAAGATGGTATCCCTAAAATTTTTTGAAAAAATTGGCTATTTCTAGCATAAGGCTTTGTTTGTTGATAACTTATCAACCTCTAATCAGCAATAGTGCTGTACCGATATTGAATATTGGATTGGCACCGATGTTTAGAGTTTTCAAAAAATATTGGACCATGTTGATATTGAATCTGATTTTGTTTTTAGTTATTTTATGATTGTATATATAGTTATTTCATTTTTTTTTAAATTTTATAATAATAAATTAATGTAGGGAACTATACAAATTATTAGTTGTAATTAGTAATATTAATTAAATTTTACACCATTTTTTGTTATATTATTAAAATATCTAACGAGTCTCATTCAGCTAGTGTCTCGATTTGATAGTAAATAAAAATATCAGATAGGTTTGGGTTTTTACTAAGATTGGATCAATAAAAATCAGCATAGTCTTAATTAGCAAGGAGATGCCAGATGCGATTTATCAATCTGATATTATATATAATTTTTTTTAATATTAAATTTAACAATAGTTTGTAAATTCGAATTACTGGAATATGGATTATTTAACAAACAAAATAAGAATTTTATATTATAATTAATGTAATTAAATAAATCAAAGAAAATGAAGAATGCTCATAAGCTTATTCTTTGTTTATTCTAAGTTTTAAATAATTAAACTTGATGAGCATAAACAGTGTCATACAAAACAATCCAACATATGCAAGCTATGGATAGTATGGATATGGGTAAAATGGGTTGAAGACTCCCAAATATAGCACTCCATCCCATCAAAGCCCCCCAATTAAAAACTATTCCCAAATGTAATTGGGGCCAAGGAAAATATCGTTTGGCCAATGGATAAGTTACAGTAGGTATCATCGAGACTAAGCCTTTCAATAAAATATTTTAAATAATTATTTAATTGTATTCTAATAATATAATTAATTAGTATTGTTAAATCAGTCACTTTGAACAGTTTTTTAAAAACTTTTAACTAAATATTTTCTCTAAAAAATATTACACAAGCCTGAAGATTTTGCTCAACGATGGCACTAGGTGGATATCTATTAGTAAAATTTCAATGCATAGACAATATTTTGTAAAATAATGAATGAATTGTTTTTAAAAATCAGCTCAAATTGAGCTATTTAACAATACTATAATTAATAATTAAGACTACATTTATAATGGCACTCCATATAAAATATATAAACCACCATTATTATTTATTCATTATCAAATATACAAGATAATTATCTAAACATCTAAATCAATTATAAACCTATAGACAATCAAATACTGTTTAGTATCATTTTATATTTATTATAAATAACTCTTTAATAGCTTAATTCTAAATATATTATTTGCAAATTTGTAGAACCTGATAAATTTTACCTTTATTTTTTAAAAAATTAAATATTTCTTACCTAATATAACAGTATATGTGTTAAGTTGGAGAAGTATAACAAAGGCACCAACTAAATGAAAAGTCAAAAGATTCAATGCTTGTTTTGTAGAAAGTTTGTTTGAAGCTAATGGTCTTTCTTGTGTCCTTTTAACATGTGAATCAAAATCTTTGTCAAAAATGTCATTTATTATACAGCCAGCATTTCGCATTAAAAAAGAACCAAGAACGAAGTATAAAAATATATTTAGATCAGGAAAATTGATATTCAATAAAAAGGTATCAATTATAGTATTAGTAGATAATTCTGGCCAAATATCTGTATGTAAGTTTAATTTCTTTTTTTCCAAAGATGTGGCTAATGTCAAGGACCAAGCTCCTGGCCAAAATAACAACCATGTCCCTAAATAAATAAATTATAGTAAGAACTATATATTTTTTAAAAAATAAGTGGCTATACCACAAAATTATGTAGGGATTGGAAGTCTATATATTCCATTAGTTTTGTATTTAAAATATATACAAAATTAAATCATAATTTATTAATAGTCTCCATATTGGGTTTATATTTATATCTCAATTGTTGAAATGAATTTGCAAAAAATAGTATACCTGAACATGCCTGCTCTTATAGAAAAAATGATGTTTAGTAAATTTACTATTTTTAAAAAAAATAAAATATGGTTTGTTTAAACTTTAAAAAGAAAAGGAATATGTATCGCAACTTCTATTATTTTAAGCATATTAAAATTTTAGACTATATCATATTAAATTTAATGTAGTCACAGATAAAAATTTTATAAAAACAACCAAAATAACATAAAAATATAACCTATTTTTCTTTATCCTTACCAATTGGTTTATCAAATCGAATTAATTTTAAATATTGTTGAACTAGAAGTGGAGAACGTTTGGTTATCCAATCTGATCTTCTAGGAAGTTTGCAATATCTGTAAAATTTTGCTTAAAAATAGCAAATATATTATGGAACCCTCTTTGCCAACATCCGTGCATGATAAAACCCCTTATTAATAACATAATTCAATTTAAAATATTAAAAAAATAATGTTATGTTGAAGAATTGCATTCTCCGAAAATAATGGTATTGTCATATATAATCTAATTGGCATTTTCTCCCAAATCTTTATTATTTATGTAGATATTTTGAAATTTTATTTGATGATTGACTACAATCATATATGGGGAAGGATTAACCGAGCTAAGAAATTTCGAGGGGCTTGGGCAGCCGGGTGTTAGGGTCATCTCAGATCGATAATAAGGGCCAATAAAATCTATATAAAGAATAATTAATGTCCTCTAAACAAAGGGCGTGGTATAAATCTGTTTCAAACAAAACCAAGCTTAATAACCCAAAATATGAGAACTAGACAAAAAAATTTAGCAGCCATATTGGATAAGATTGATCATGGGGAAAATAAAGATAGATGGACATAAATATAAGATATCTCTGTAAATTGTTCCATAACTGCGTTATAAACATTAAAAATTGTGAATAGAAGGACATATATATAAGAAATGTCTGTAAATTGTTCCATAATTGCGTTATAATCATTAAAAATTGTGTAGGAATCATCCTTGGCAATGAACTACAGCACTGATTTTTACAATCGCTGATACACCAAGGATAATAAAACTCTGCATTAGCAAGAAGTGGAAGAGTATGCTCAAGACAAAGTTATGATGGAGATAATGATATGGCACTAGTAGCAAAATTCACATGTGGAACTGATAGAGTAGGCTTCGACTTTGGATTAGCAACTTATGCTGAAGGGTAGCATAAGCTTAGATTTGCATTTTATAAACACTTATGACGAAAAGATTATTCCTGTTAATCCACCAAAGTGGTCTACGAAGCTCCTAAACTCCAAAGTAATCTCAGTAGATATAACAAACATTGCTTCACAGCACGAACTGTTGGTAAAGATACTCATAAATCCTCTCATAATAAACTATAAATGGAACTTCGCATCAAATTGAATAAATTAAAATCTATGACAATTCGCTATAAATACAAATATCGAAAGATGTAGATTGATATCTCAACAAGACGTCGACCTGACAGAAGATGATCAAATAATACTGAAAAATCCTTGAAACAAAAAAAATATTTTTTCAGCTATCCAACAGTTGTTTTTTTCTAACTCTGGTTCTACTCCATCACAAATTCCACAAAACAACAATTCTGTTATTAAACGCAAAGGATATTTGCCTTGCCACCAAATAAAAACAAATTTGAGTTCAACCAGGATTAATATCTTTCATTCTATTTGAAGCCTAGAAAATCCAAAGTTTGAATACAAATTTGAGTTCAACCAGGATTAATATCTTCCAATCAATTTGGAACCTGGGAAATACAAATTTGTATTCAAACAGGATTAATATCATTCAATCTATTTGAAGGTAAGTAAATCCAAAATTTAAACACAAATTTGACTTCAACCCCTTCAACCAGGATAAATATCTTTCAATCTATTTAAAGCTTAGAAAATCCAAAGTTTAATCGGATTTCAATTTAAGTGTAATACAGAAATTTAGCCATAAATAAAATTATTAATTTTAAAAATAATGATATTCATCTTCATCCTAAATCTGATAAAAATTTCAAATTTTCTATTTACAAGATGGGGCAACCACCGTATATTATATTATATTATTCCAGATGGGTGGATTTAAGTCAACGTTTGCAAATATTTATATATAACAATGTAATTTCTGTCATCACTTCCATTCATTGCTCTCTTATGAGAAGATTTATTTACCATACAACTCTAATTTCAATAACATATTTCCAAGCTATCCATTACTTGATAATGAAAAAGAATATTTACCATATAACTGTTAAATTTATTAACAAATTTATTTTCAAAATGCCAATTCTAACATATTTAAATAATAACTATGACGAAACCCTACAAATAAAAAGCTCATTTGGGTATACCTCTAATACAATCCTTATGAGCTTACCAGACCTCAGCACATCAACTACAAAGTATAACTGCCCACTGTGTAATTAAGCTATTAAAACTATTGTCATCACATCCAAACCAGAAAATCAGGTGTCCTTAATCTGGGATACCCATCTTATCACCAGCCATTCCTTGAACCCTTAATGCTTTTTCTGTACTTGCCCTCCAACTTAGCAACACATGATCACCATTCCCATCTATTGGCTGATGTGCTCACTAGCCCAACTGTCCCTACCTTCACTGGTGCATGTTTCCACGTTTGATCCAGCCGATTCCACAGATGTAGAAATATTTTTATGACGCCAAAACCACTTGTCATTTCACAAATACCTAAGGAGCAAGGCTTCAAGTTGGGAGACACCTATCAAAATATTTGAGTTCCTTGATGTTGTAAATTGCAATGTTTTTTTTTAATTTTTAGTTAAAATGTCCATTTTAACTTTGATTTTTTTTAGTTATCATTTTTTTTATCGTTTTTTTTGATAAATGATTTTTATTCATCATTAATTTTTTATATGAAAACTGATAAAACCATTTTTTTATTATTATTAGTTTTTTCGATAATAAAATTTATAAAACCATTTTTTGATGATTAAAATTTTTATGGTAAAAGTTATAAAACCATTTTTTCATCATTTTTATGTTTATGTGTTTAAAATAAAAAGTTACGATTTAATAGTCCACAAATTTAGTAGTATTGACGTTTCGAGTTATTTAGATTTCTGATTTTCAGTAAGTTATTTTTTTTTTGGATCTTTATATGTTATTCTTCTGTAAAACATAGGCTAGACACCCTGTCATTTATCTTTACTACCCTACAAGTTCCACTGCCAGAAAAAACCCCTGCAAATTAGGGATACAACTACCTACCCCTTATCCATTAATCACTTATCCACATCCTTTAAGGGTGATGACATGGATAAAAATAAATCACAAAAATGACCTCTTGACCATGGCTAGGCTTACATCTAAAAAACAAGATAACCTGAATGTTAAATCCGTACGCCTAGCAACTTATGACAATAAGCTGGCTCCCTAAGACCAAGCTATTTATCAAGCTCTTCTCTTATCTGGCGCTCATGCGATATTAAGAACAAAATACCGGCTTACCCTGGAGCCCCTCACATTGCAGGACAAGCGACGTAAGGTTATTCCTCACCTGTATTTTATGGGTTTCGCCCAACATTCCTGCAGGATCTAACCTTACCTTACATCACACAAAAATGCGACGTTTTAGTATAAATTACCCAGCTCATCAACTGTATGCTTACTGGAATACTACCCATCATTTATCCACTCCTATACGGAGCTAAACTCATAGTTCTCCATAGACCGAATAAAACTATTCGCCCTATCGCTATAGGAATAACTTAGCGCCGATAAACGGCCAAACTAGTAGTAAGCAGAATAATGTTCATGAGTGCCCAAATCAATTGTGAGTCAATGTAAAAGGTGGGTGTGAGGTATTCCTTCAATTACCCGGATGTATTTACAAACAATCCCCAGTGACATCCTAGTTAAAATAGACTTTTCGAACACCTTTAATTCTCTAAGGATTAACGCGTTTCTAAATTCTAACCCTCTACCAGAATATTCCCAATTTATCTTCGATTGTTATGTTAGTCCCTCGCACTTCCAATTTGGAGATAGGTTGATTCCTTATAGCGATGGAATACAACAAGATGACCCTCTAGGTTCTTTTATGTTCTGTAATAGCCTGATACAAGAGATAAATGACCAATGCAGGCTTAATCTTCATAATTGATATATCGATGATGGTATTCTGCGGCCCATTGGATAAAGTGATGAAAGCAATCAAAATAATAAAATCCAAGAAGATCCGTTTGGGACTGCGAATTAGTCCAGACAAGAGCGAATATTGACCCCTAGGGATCATTGGCCTTAACATTGAACTCTTTGGTAAAGACGAGTCCTTATCAAGTTCCTTGCCGCTATCTCAATGTAGATGATGAACTACCTTCTAATTCCAAGAATTTTACATACACTCCGATAATGGCGAATCTTTCATGAAGTGGGGTCGCTAGGAGGGGGAAGGGAGCGCAGGGACTCAAGCCCCCTGAAAAGTTTGAATAGCCCCCTGAAGCAAAAAATTTTTTTAATGGCTCCTTAATATCTCCTTGAGCTAAAAATAAATGTTTTTTATTGCCCTCTGAATAATTTCTTTTATAATTCTATTGAGTAATATATAAATTAATTTTATTAAAAAATTAATAAGACAATCTAAATTTTTAATAAATGAATACTATTTTAATTATTAGATTAGATTATTACATATAAATTATACTATGTCAGTTTGCAATCAAATTCTATGTTAAAAATATAACAATATCACTGACTAAATATTAATTTAGCATTAACAGTTGAAACTTAATTGACTTTTATTATTTAAATTATTATATAACCCTAATTAAATAAATATAATCATTTATTAATTGAAAATTAATAATTTAATATTTTAGCCGAGTTCAAAATCACTAATCAACTATATTATTAATTTTTAAATTTAATTATCATGTCTCTTCCTAAAATTATTTTCAAGGTCCAAATCCAAATAAGTATAAGAGATTTTATAATTTATAATCCTCTATTATATATAATTTTTTATAAAATATTAGGTAAAATGTCACTTTTACAGATGTATCTGACAGTTATATAATATATTACAGTTTATATTTTTAAAATTTTACTAATAAATGCTTTTGATAATAAATATAAGTAACAATTTGCTTACAAATATTTAACGACATCTATTTATTTACAATTTAATTAAAATTAAGCGTATTATTATTCATCCCACAATGGATGTAATAAATTAGATATATTTTCTTCTCTTTTTTACGTGTTTTTAGGAAGCTATTTTTTTCTTCTTCGGAATATAGATTTGAGTTAAATTTTTAATACGAATATATTTTTAATATTATTACAAACTACTATTATTTTAAGATATAATATACTAACTAGAGATGGTGAGACAATAATATATAAATTCTTAATTGCTTTCATGATATCACTCTGGTTCTTATTTTGTAGTTACAAAATGTTTCATTTCTAATATGGCATTTTTGCCGTGTAAATAACTCAAGGCTTCAATATATTTGCATAATTTCTTC